TTGGCCTTCAGTCTATCCGGACCGCTCAACTAGCAATCAACATTCCGAGTTACCTCTCCGGGAAAACCTCCCATGCATACTGTTCTAGCCCCCTAGGGTTCTCGAACTCTCTCTCCATCATACATACTCGATCCCGACCTGATCCCAGGCCCTGCACATTCAAGCTCTTGGTCTGTATCCCGCCCCGCACGCCTGCCATTTACTCATACCAACCAATGCCCTTGGCTGACCGAGACACTACTGAATTCCATGCAGGTAAACAACCTTTCATACTCGTCGATCCTCCGGAGAACTCTCAAATTCTCCCCCACTTAAGGTACTGACTACCAACCCCCGGTCGCTATCGCCGACCTCCCAAGATAACCTTGCACAAAACCCACATTTACACTCAGACTGATTCCCACTAGCACTAGCAACCTTCGCAAAAACACATTTCCACACCGATCATCCCGCTCGAAAGGAACCCAATCTTCAAATATCCATTCCTCAGACTGCAGATGCTACCCGACATTCAAACCAACACCGCATCCACCAATAATCCTCACAAAAGATAACCAGCGAAAACCCGAAATACTAACCCATACCCATGCCAAACCCTCAAGGAACAACGGATACCAAAACGAAAACCACCCAACGAGACTAGCAGATAAACGATACTCCACAATAATCATAATAAACAAGACAACAAGAAAGAAACATACCCGCAGCTGCATCCGGCACTGCTCGAACCTCCTCCGCTGCAAGCTGAAAAGCACGACCCTAAGCCCTTGGGGGCTCCGCTCCACCCTGACCTCCACCTGTGATCCTCAACGTGGCCGGTGCTGGAGCCTGCACCGGTCCTGCAGCAAGCTGTGGACAGTTGACCCTCAAGTGTCCAACCTGATGACAATGATAACATATCCTCAAATCCGAACCGGCACTGACTGCCGACAATCCCTCGCATAGTGTCCCTCCTTTCCGCACTTGCGGCATGTACCACCGGACCGACAAACTCCGGCGTGACCCCTCCCACACTTTCCACAAACGTGGCTGCCCTGATCTCCCATCCTGGAATCAACGGTCTTAGACCGTTTCGTCGCCGGCTGCGACTGAACCGGAGCTTGCCTCAGCTCACGCAACTGCAACTCAATCTCTAACTCACGCCGCCTGGCGGCCTCCTGCAACTCCAACAAGGTCTCGCACCTCTGCGCGGACACAAACTGTCTGATGTCTCTCTTTAGCATACTCAGATATCGGGACATCTGAGCCTGCTCCGAAGCGAACTCAGGGCAAAACATCGCCCTCTCAGTAAACATCCTGGTGATTTCCGTCACCGACTCCGAATCCTGCTTCAGCTCAAGGAACTCCTGAGCCAACCTCTCCCTCTCGACCTGCGGAACATAACGAGTGCTGAACATCTCTCTGAACTGATCCCAAGAAACCGCAGCCCTCTGCGCATCCGAATATGACCCCGTGGTCAACCTCCACCAATCCTTTGCCCCGAGCCTTAACAGGTTCAGAGCGCACCTCACCCTCTGATCAGCAGGGCATGAACACGTGAAGAAACATCCCTCCACATCTGATAACCATCTCATAGCAACGATCGGATCCTGAACTCCATCAAAGGTGGGAGGCTTCGTATTATCGAAGTCCCGATACTGAAAACCTCTACTAGCTCCTCCCCCTGCCGCTGCTACAGCCGCTGTAGCTGCCGCGACAGCCGTCTCCGTGAGAGCCGCATAGCGCTCATCAAAATACTCCACCATGGCGGTCTTGATCGACCCAAACAGTTCCGGCAGCTCAGCCCGGAACAATGCAGCAACCTCATCATGCAGGATCTCACGAATCCTCGCATCCAACTCGCGCGTACTCATCTGACCGACAACCTCGGGCGGTACGGACCCACCCGGAACTCCCTCTCCTGCTCCTGATCCTGACCCGGATCCACTCCCAGCATGCCCTGAAATCTCCATACTGAAAATAAACCACCAAAATCTCAGACACTTCCCACTATCCCGGGAACCAACTCTCAACCCAACCCTAGAGGTCATGGTTTCCCTGATACGCGTATGGGTCCTGTGCTTTCAGTAGTACGGGCCCATACTACCTTCCACACCTACCCATATTTGTATGAAGTACTTCCACAACACCCTAGCGAAAACATACATAACAACGCTCTATCCTCACAACTAGAGGAACACTAGAAATCTCTCACAAGAAAACCCTAGGCTAGCAGGCATCATAAATCAGGCAACACATCAAGAAATCCTGAAGATCCCTAGCCTAACTCTAGCATGCTGTTCTATCAAAGCTCAATAAAACAAATATCATGTATGGTATTTTGGGGTTACTTACTGGCTCCGGCTGATCGTACCTCCGCGTCCTCCTTTACTTATTTTGAAAACCATTTTAAATTCTCTTTTGAAAACCCTCCTCGATTTGAGACTGGAGTCACACAAGTGTTCCTCCAATTCACTCAAACCAAGGCTCTGATACCAACTTGTAACGACCGAAAAATCCAACCAATTTAAATTTTTCAAAAAACAACCCGATTTCATTAAATTATTACAAAAAGGTTTTCAATACAAATCATTTAGAGTATTCCCAGAATCACATTGCTACAAAATCATGAGGAGCGGTACGATCACGCCTTCGCCTTGCCACAGTCTCCTGAAGAACCTGAAAAACATTAAACCACAACTGTAAGCCCGAAAGCTTAGTGAGATACCCCCAAAATACCAACCACATATACCATACACATAACATGCTATCTCATAACGAATCACAGAACAGCCATGCATATCGGGTCTACTGTGGGACTGGTCCGCCTTGTAGGGCCTTCAGTCCACCTGGTCCACCCTCCGTGTCCAATCATGTCCCTCGAGTCTGCAGTGTGGTTGGTCCGCCCGCACTGGGCCTTCAACTCACCTGGTCCACTCTCTGAGTCTACAGTATGACTGGTCCGCCCGCATCGGGCCTTCAGTCGGCCTGGTCCACTCTCCGAGCCTCGGCACGTCTGGTCCGCCCTCGTGGGGCCTACAGCCTATCCGGACCGCTCGCTGGGCCTTCGGAATAACCGGTCCGCCCTGGGTATCTTGGCCTACAGCACGAAGCAGGACCCGCCTCAACCCAACTCCAGTCCAAACAACCATGTGCACATAAACAACAATCACATAACAATTCATATTCAGGCAACCGATCTAGCAGATCACATATCACAACATACTCTAACAGGATACCGACCTAACCGGTCACTAGCATAGCCTCACCCTACATACCAGGATACCGACCTTAACCAGGTCTCTAACGAATACCATCCTAACTACCAGGATGCAAACATATCAAAGCAATAACATAACAACAGATACCCGGATCTCAATCCGATAAAAGGGCCGGCCTTGGTGCCTTAGACCCTGTTGATATAGTGAGGATAACTCACCTCGAAACTGCCGGCTGAAAGGATAAGATCCCGCTGCTCCGAACTCCGACACGAACTCCTCCACTGAACACCAAAACACTCAACTCAATATATACCCTTAATTACCAAAATACCCCTGGAAGACAACTGGTCAACCTTGGACAAAGTCAAAGTCAACCCCTGACTGACTCTACTCGCCGAGTCAACCCGATGACTCGCCGAGTCCCAAGCTCAGAACTTCCCTCAATCCGCGACCTAACTCGCCGAGTCACCCCGAGACTCGCCGAGTCCAACAACTCTGAGTCCACTCGCACCCAACTCACCGAGTCATCCCTTGACTCACCGATTCTCGACTCAACCAGAAAATATTGGGACTCTTCGACAAGACTCGCCGAGTCTAAGGCTATCTTCAACCTACTCGCCGAGTTGTTCATCCAACTCGTCGAGTTCCAGCTCATCTTCAAGCAACTCGTCGAGTCCACCCATGTGACTCGCCGAGTACCACCGGTCTGAATCCATACAGAAGCATTCCAGGCCATGCAATTGATCCAAAACATAGATCTAGCCTCCTACAATCCATCCATCACGTAAAGTGGCAAACTTTACGTGAATCCAAAGAGATCTAGGCCTTATTCACTTTAGAGCTAGGGTTTGGGACATGATGGCTTCACTAAGCACTCAAACACAGGGACTTTAATGCTCTCTAGGCCTTCCCCATTCCAGATCTGAGGTAGCAACCTCAGATCTATCCTCCAAACTCTAAAACATACAAAGATAAGCTCCCCATAAACCCCAAAATGATGAATCCATATGAGTGATAGCCCAAGAACGAGATATTACCTCAAAAGAATGCCCCAACTGCAATGAAACTCGAATCCAAGCAAAGCCCTTTGACCCAAGCCTCTTCTTCTTCAAGATTTCTTCAACAAACACCTCCCCAAGCTCCAAATGCACTCCAATCTTCATCAATCACGCTTTCTAGGGTTTCTGGACTTCAAGGGGGATCAAAGAGGCTGGGGAGAGGATATAATGTTCTTTAAATAGGGCTCGTTCCCCGGATTTAGGGTTTTCTCCACTCAGCACCTACTCGCCGAGTAGGCCACTTGACTCGCGACCAAAGTCGCGACCCTACTCACCGAGTCCATCCATGGACTCGCCGAGTTTCCCTTCAAAATTTACACTTTTAGTCCTTCAACTCTACTCTTGCTATCGCGGGATGTTACAAGAAAAGTGACTAAAATTGGTTATAAACCTTCCTTATCTGAAAAACTGTCAAAACTGTCATATAACAGTTTTTCTCAACAGTAAAAACTGTCATAAATCCGGGTTTTGTATAAGGATTAATTCAAAGTCAAAACCGGGTCAAATATTCAAAATTTGGATTTTCGACCCCAGCCAGGGGCTCTGCCCCTTGGACCCCGCTCCCAGGGGCGCTGCTCCCGGACCCCCGTTCGTTTAGGGGCTTCGCCCCTAGATGACAGTATACTTTAATACTTGATCAAACTTAAACAAGTGTGTACTCCACACCTTCCTTACTTGTTTAATATTTATCAAGATCATTTTTAGTCAACAAAGTAATCCCTATTACACTTAAATAACACTGATGATAACAAATCACCAACATGTTCTTTGGCAAGCGAGATCCATTTTCAACACCCCTTCTTCCGATGTCGACTCCATTACTGCAAAAACTCCATCGCACAGTCGGATTACCATTCTTTACCCTTTTTCTTCCGATTACATTCTCAGAGAACGGTATAGGAACCCATGGAACATAATTTGTGCGGGGAAATTGCTTGAAGACCCTGATGCTCTCGCGGGTACCATCTCCTTCAAAGTACGCCCCTTTACCTTCTTTTTTGTCAGATTATATGCATTCATGAGAGAACATCGCGATTATAACACTTGTGGTTTCTGTTGGAACTGTGAAACAAACAACACTGCTTCGATAATGCATGCATGACCGATTCCTTGTTGCTAGTGACTGCATCTGTGGACAAAATGGTTAACAAAAAGTCAATTTCTTGTTGACATTGATTTTAAAACAGTCGGAGCTGTTACGTGGGTTGGTCGTTCTTCTATGGAGATTCAGTTAGAAGTCCTTCAGTCCACTGAAGAAACATCCGATCTTGTTGACTCACAAGCTTTAGTTGCCAACTTCACTTTTGTTGCACCAGACTCCAAAACCGGAAAATCAGCATAAATTAAAAAAATCACACCCAATAATGAAAGGGAGAAATCCCTATGGAAAGAAGCAGAAGAAAGGAACAAATTCATGGCTTTTATTCGTAACCTTCAGCTTGGTTTTGAAATGCAGGTAGTGAACAAGAAGAAGGTGTGGTGAAATTGGTGTGGGTTTCTTTCTAGAGTGTGTAGGTGGTTGAGAGAGAGAGAGAGAGAGAGAGAGAGAGAGAGAGAGAGAGAGAGAGAGAGAGAGAGAGAGAGAGAGAGAGAGAGAGAGAGAGAGCATTTGCATGTAATTTTTTTCTTTTTTCTTTTTAAAATAAAAGAACACATCATAAATGGTCTATGTGGTAGTGAAATGACGAAAATATCATTCACTTAATAGATAAAACTTAACGGAATTAGCAATAAGAACCAATATCACTCGTCAAAAGTTTTGAAAGCACATGAACCATTGTAACATTTTTAAACCACGAGGATTAAATTTGAGATCTGGAAAAACCACATGACCATTTATGATGGTTTTCTTTTATTAATAATAAAATTAAGCTTTTTAAAAAAATAATACCAAGCCAAGTTAACGGAAGTTACGGCAATAACGACTCGCCAAAAGAATTAAAATATCAACAATAAAATTGAAGAACTATGCACCCTATAATATATAAATGCAATTTTACAATATTTATTTAGAATTTGGAGCATTAGTATATTTTCTGCATTCTGCAGTACTTGTTAATTTATATTATTATGTTCACTTTAGCAACCATTCAAAGAAATTTGATGGAGGCGTTTTTTTTTACAATAACTTATTAAAATGTTCTACTAAAATATTATATAAAAATTTGAACATCATAGTGTCATATATTAAATTATTTAACGAATTATAATGTAATTATTTATCAGACAACAGTGTTAACACCACATGTTTAAGAAAACTGTTTGAACCAACCATGGCCTAAACTAAAAGACCAAGACCCGACCTAGAAAATTGGTGTTAGAGGAGAAAGACTAGTTTTGAAACCTGCTCCTAAAAAGCCCAACTAGCTACATAAGTTACTTTTACTAGTTTTGAAACCCGATGGGTTAAAAGACCAATAAACCAACGCCGTTAATAAAACCCATTGTTGGTAGCCGTTTTACGTAAACAATTTCATTTCTATTAATGTGTTCCATTTTTTATTTTCATAAATAGGTTAAAAGGGACTGGGCCTGTAACCGGTTAAACCAATCTTTGATATGAGTGACCACATTATATAAAAAAAAATATTAATCCCTTTGGTGTGTTACATAATACATGGTATACATGAAGACTTTGTTCTACCTTTGCGGTACATTGAATTGAACTAAGACTCGTATCAAAACAAGATTCACAATTTTAACCTCACCTTAAGGCCGGATGGAGCGGGGTGCGGGATGAGCCGTGGGAAGCTTCCCATTCCGATGAACACCGCACCGGCGGTGCGGGAAGGGTTGCGCGGGAGGAGGTGGGGGTGGGGTTGCCGCATTCTCTCTCCGATGGGGATTGGATATAAATGTTTTTTTTAAATAACTGTTAAAAACGGTAAAATGTGATTTTTTTTTTTCCTTTTTTTAAATTTGCAACGGCTAAATGGTTTAAAATATAATTTTTTTAGCCTCCACAACCTCTATAAATACTCATACTCATTTATCTTTAATCAAATCCTCTACAACCTCTATTTTCTTCAAAAAAAAAAAGAATCTCAACAATCAAACACCAACCTCCGATAGAAGGAAAAAAACTCATGTTTCGAGTTTAAGCACCCCTACTCGAAACATTTTTGCTATTGATTCATCATCATAAGGAGTTTATCATCCTCATCTCGATGCTCCCATTCAATCTCCACTATAATTTCAATACTAAAATGTTAGACAATATTACCCGGTCCAAGTTCCAAATGTTACTCCGCAAATGTTTTCGAACTTTGTTGTTTTTCCCGATCAACATTCGTTAAATCAACTTCAAACTCAAACCCAACAACAATTCCAACTTGTCAATGAGTTGGATGACTCGGAAGAAGAAGAGATGGTTCTCGAAACTCAACCCACACCACCCCCACAACGACGCAAAGGAAAACAACAAGCGCGCGAGGGTGTCGCACAACCGGGAAGACAAAAGTTGATACCAAGGGTTCCACAAGAAGAACTAGTTTTGGTAAAAGCTTGGGTTGACATTTCTGAGTACTCGAAGACGGGAAATGCATAACCGGGAGATCATTTTTGGTTTCGCATTTTAGAATGATTTCAGGAGGAGCTAGGAAAAGATGGCGACTACCGTACAAAACACCAAATGAATTCAAAGTTTCGAGAAATAGCAAAAGTGTTTAAAAGATAAACGGGTTATACAACAAGCTAAAATCCTAACGAAAAGCGGCCAAGGCGACGAAGAAATACTTCAAGAAGCTTTGCAATTTTACCTTGATGAATTCGGAAAACCATTCAAGTTACACGACTGTTGGAAATTATTGGTTAGATGTCCCATGTGGAAAAAAATACGAGCAATATTTTATTTTTGGAGTACAAAAATCAAAGCGAACGAAAACGGACTCTAGTGGTTATACAACTTCCTCTGATGCTCGGGTCGGTGTAGATTTAAATCAGGAGGACGAACTCGAGCTAGAAGAAATTGTCCAACCGATGGGTAGGGACAAAGCAAAGAGGAAGGGAAAAGGGGCTTCTTCGAGTGCATCGGATTTCAGCATGAACGTTGACGAAATGCGAAAAATAACAGCGTCATTTGATCGATATAATCTTAATTTCGTTGAATGTTTGACGTTCGACAAAGAAAAAAAGAAGAAGAAAGAAAGAAGGGACGCACGGAGAGACAAGAAATTAAGGATATGAAGTTCTTGATGGAAAACACCGACCATCTCTCGGGACTGACTCTCAAGCTCATGACGAAGAAGAGAGAAAAAATTATGAAAAAAATATTTTTCATAGGTTGTTGTTGGTTTGTTTGATTTTTTGTTTGTGTTTTTTTTTAATATTCTACTTTTTAAATCTTAGGTTTATTGTAATTTTTATTTTAATTAATGAAATACATTTCCTTTTTAATTAAAATTTTTGTTTATTATTAGTTTAAAAATTATAGATCATAAAAATGAATCAATTTTATTTAAAAAAATAAAAAAAACAAATAGTGAGGAAAGTTTCTCACCAATTCATTGGGTTTAGGTGAGGGAAAGGGTATTGTGATCCATAAAAAATGATGAGAGTTTCCCACCCACACCCTTAAGGGTGGCAACTCTCGACCCAACCCGTAACCCGACACTGACCCAACCCGAAATAGTCGGGTTTTGGTTGAGATTTTTGACCCGTCAACCCATCAACCCGCCAACCCGTTTATTTCATGGGTTGAGTTGGGTTATCTGTTTGGGTTTGCGGGTCAACCCGTGTATATATATATATATATATATATATATATATATATATACATTTAAAAAATTGTATATTTAATTATTAATGTTCGTAATATTTTGTATCATTGTATTTCTTCCATATTCGTATGTGACTAATCTGCATTTGCGGTTCATTAATCAGAAAAAGAAAAAATATATGTCGTTATTTTCACGAGTCACGAACGAAGAACATATTCACTTTCTATGAATGTTTTCATTTTTTATTTTTATTTGGATGTTATTAACTTTATGAATTTATGTTGAAAACTTTTTTTTATGTTTATTACTTTAATTATTTTATAAATTTAAGTTGAAAAAATCTTATTTTTTAAAATGTGTTGGTTATTTATTAAATGGATTATATGGGTTGGGTTTGACTCATTAACTTGTGAACCCGTAAACCTATATACTTAAACAGGTTATATGGGTTGGGTTGAGTTGTGGTTTCCAACCCACCAACTCGTGACCTGCCAACCCATCAACCCATATATTATATAGGTTGGGTTGAGTTTATGTTTTTTAACCCGCCTACCCAAACCCAACCCAATTGTCAGGCCTACACACCCTCGTCTAAAAGATGGGACAAAGCTTTCCATATAGGGGATGCTTAATATGGTATGACATGATGCTATTGATAGTTTGTTACCATACAAAGAAATTTAATCTGACATTGATGGCGTCTTAAAGCTCTTTCTAGCGGCGACCAAACAGATATATGACCATGATGCTCTAATATCACCATATAAACAACTGTAATCAACCATTAATCACGTTTTAAGTTATAATTACTCAGACCAAACAAAATGATAATTCAAACTTTGAGAATTTTCAATCAAGTGAAAACTCCTACATGGTGCTTATATAGGTCAATTGGTTGGTTTATAGACTATACAAAAGGACTCCACAGTCAAAAGCTGTACAACTTGCAAACTTATTTACAGGATGTTATTTCCCGGGTAAATTGTTGAAAATAGCAACAAACTTTACACCCTTTTTAGCAATATAGACAATGTACTTTATTTTTACCCATAATACCAATATAAATACATTTCTTACTGCATTATAGCAACATACCTTGTCGGACCACCCACACAGTTTACATATTCCAGGATAAAATAATTCCAGGGATAATTTTGTCATAATAAACAGGGGAGGGCACAAGATTAAGTGGTCAAACACTGAGCTATGGTCTAGTTAAAATATTGAATTTATAAACTCCATTAAATCTAGTAAGTGATATGGTGTGTCTTATTGAGTTAAAATGGCAACTTAATAGGAAAAAGACGCTTTCCACCTTACTTTTTCCTTCCATTTTGTCAAATATCTGTTGAACATCATTTATCCAAAAGAGAAAAGACACGTAAATGAAAAAAAAAGGATTACATAAACGAGGAGATACAAGGATGGATGGATGTAATGTAACATAGCACAATCTGCGAGCTTAACGTCCTAAAAAGACCAAAAAAAGAGAGAGGGAAGGAGAATAATAATAATAATGAACAACATGCAGATTAGGTTATTATTCATAAGGGATTTGGATATAAGCGGCATCAGACACAAAGGGGACATCAGCATACATTCCAGCAAGAGCACAGCGAACGCACTCCAAAACCGTAAACAGGAAAGCAAACGCGAATGCGGTCCAAAAATGCATCCCGATCTTACCCCAATACCAGGCGGTAGGCAACCAGCGCCATATGGTTCCAGTGACCTGAAGGGCAATCTCCAACAGCATCCCCGACACCACATGAAACCGGATAAAGTGGGGCCACTCTTTTCTTCTAACAATTGCCAGATACGCGATTATGAAATACGCGATCAAGAACCAGCTCGGTAGACCCCCGAGGGCGCTCAGAAAAGGGTAAGTCAGGAACTCGAAATCTTCCAGGAAAGGGTGAAGGTGATACGCGGTTTCTGCGTACATCCATGTTTCGTGAAGTGGCATTAGGTAAGGCAGGCATGCTAAGGATCTCCAGTACCATTTTGGTTTTTTTTCCATTGGGGGGAATTTGTAGCTCAGCGGTGTCGTGTCCTTTGATGCTTTTGGAGATATGCTGGAATAGCGTTTTCCTTTTCCTTTTGGTTTTGGAGATAAGCTGTTTGGTGTCAAGCAGCTTACATCTCCACCAGATGATGCGGCTGACAGATGAACAAATGGAGTGCCTCCCGCTGTTAAAAAAAATGACTAAAAAGGATTAGAGGAAAAGAAAAACAAACAAGACATGTGGTTTTCCATTTATTAGACCTTTACACTTCTTAGTTAGCCCCAAGGGAAATAACTCAATAAGTAGTAGGTATGTAATAAAAGATTCGGTGAGGGGGCATTTTCGTAGCTCTCCTAGTTAGGTTGGTTTAGGTTTAGCTTATATACAAGTTTGGGTGGAGTTGGTCATCATCTTTTGAACTATACAGTGAGAGCCTATCTCTAGCCACTTGAAAGCTAATTTTCCGTTTATAGCCCTTTGCTTCCAAGATTCAATCCAAACTGTATCATAGACTACTTAAATATTCATTTGTTTATCATAGCAATCTGCTTTCATATCTCCTTGTCACAACATCCTAGTTTAAAAAATCTACTGAAATTATAACAATTCCATTCACGTATCAAGAATTTTTAAAATTTCACAAGTACAACAACCTAATAAGAAAAAAATTTGAAAGTGCACTGTTATAGTTGGGGTAGATTTTTCAAAGTAAACCACCTTATTAAGAAAAAAATGTTGGAAGCACAATGTTGTGGTAGAATGAAATGATAGCAAGATGCTATGTTGATATTTCTTACATTTAACCTTAACAAAAAAGAGTCTTTACTTTTGTGGTTTCATTTTACTCAAAAGTACATGATCATGAACATAAATAAGGAGAGACTTTATGATAACTCCAAGCTTCCAAAGAAATATAAAAAGAAAACAGAAGCAAATCCCAGAGTTCTACTCCCACGTAAATGTCCCAGTTTTCTTTGTGAATAAAGCACCATCTCTAATATGTCTGTGCCATAATCAGTTTAAATAAGGTCATCATTGAAGATCACATCTAACAGAATATGTATATGATCATAAAGCAATCATGCATTAAATATGAAGAATGTTGAAAATGTCCAACTCTTTCCAGAAGTACAGTTTCCCAGAAGAAGAAGACTTCCAAAGAGAGATTGATTCCAGGGTCTTCTGAAGGAAACTGGAAAATGCAACTCTGAAGATGCTGTCTCTGGAAGACCAAACTCTTAAAGTTTTCATGAAATGTAACTGTATAGTGCACATGTCACTTTCTTATTTGTTAGGGCTTAACCAACATGGCTGACATGTTCTATAAATTGTGAACTCTTATTTACATCGTGCACATATTCTCATTACAAGCACTCAATGTAAATATCTGTCTAGTAAACTTTCTGTGATAATCAAGCATTAGGGCCCTGTTCAACACTAATTCATTGTGTACTGTGTGTTCTTGATAATTCTTAGCCTGATTCCGCAAGTGACTATTAATCTGGGAACTCTCATTATGATCTAATTAGTCTGATATAACAAACATGGAGGCACTCATTCAAACTTTAAAGACAAATTAAAGTAGCTTGAGAACGCACAAACCTTGCAAACAGAAAAATCCTGTCGCCTGATGAGATCTCAAAGAACTTCTAACCCTAGAAATTGAGAGTGTATATGGATGCAGAACACATTCAGACATTGACTTCAACGGTTTGGTCTTACATGCCTTGTAGTTCGTCCACTGCCCCCCATATAGGGAGTGACCATTTAAAATCATATTGCGAGAGACCTTGGTACAGACCTATACAAAAAACAACAATGTATGTTCCAAGTTCACATTAGGAGTAAGTAAGTAACAAAAGCTAGAGAAGGTCACATTAACCTATCCCATATTCATTTGCATAAACACATTAGAAGCTACAGTATTGGAAAATCACTTAGATTCAATTCCGACTAAAGAGCTACATTGCAACTTTGTATTGCAAAAAGTGTTGTTATTTTAATAAATTTTGCAAACTGCAATGATTATTGAACTCGGTAACCGCTACAACGGAGAATGTAACAGATATTTTAGGGCTCGTAGCTCATATCTTGTTTCCCAAAATGAGCTAAAATATGAAGTATGAAAGTTCAAAGACACACCCAAATTGGCAAATAGATTGACGCTTTAGCGTGAAGGATTTAACAAAACTTTTTTCGATTATTGCTTCCATCGATTATATTTGCTCGTTGAGTAGCATATTCAAACGTTGAACGCGAGTCAGCTAAAACATAAACGAACACGAAAATTTCCTAGGCGGAGCTACTCATAATTAAAATATAACTAAAAACAAATTGACAAGTGATATAGTACTGCGAACCAAGTAACGAAATTCACTAGCTGAATGTCTTCTTCAGCGGAACAAACAGTTGATTGATGGGCGACTGCGATCACGAACGATGGTGCACGGCCTCGTCTCCGAGTAGGGCTGAGGGTTTTACATAGAGAGGATAATGCACCGGAGCAGTTTTATCGTCAGGCATTTCCGAGTATTTACGGAAAGCACCCTGTAAATTTGGGTCGGGATAACATTAGCTAACGGTGATAGGTAACGGAATTAACACTAAAATGACCAAAATGGATCACAAAATCACCTTTTTAGAGGGTGTTTTGGATATTGTTTATTGTTTGTTTCATTATAATAAGCTAAATTAATGTGTTTGACTAAGAATTCTTAAAAATCAGTTTATTGTAGTAGGGATACGTTAAATAAGTTGATTTTAATAAGCATTCATTTTTATTTATTGTTTATTACTTATTGTTTATTCTCACCACAAACACTTTTACAAAAACTGTTTATTCTCACCGCAATAAGCTAATAAACTATAAGTTAATTTATCCAAACACTCTCTTAGAGGGTGCTTGGATAGAGAAAAAAAAGAGTGTTTATAGCTTATTTCTTATTCCCACATTTTTAAGCTAAGTTTAAGTGTTTTGATAAAAAAACATTAATAATCGGATTATTGTGGTGAAGATAAGTTAAATAAACTAATTTTAAAAGCATCCTCTTGCTTATAGCATATAGGTTATTTCTAATCCAAACACTTTTGTAAAAACTAATTTCTCACACCGTTATAAGCTAATAAGCTATAAGTTAATCTATCCAAACACCCTCTTAACATATAAAATTGCAAAAATGGTTATTGGTTTATATTTTCTATGGTTACTGTCTAAAAATTTTGCACTTATACTAATGGTCTAAATTTGAATATTTTTTTTGGTGATTTTAGTCTTTCAATGTAATAATATTTACCATAAGAGGTAACTTTATGCACCTCATTAGGGGTGTCAAAAAAACTCAAACTTGGTTAACGCGAATCCCAGCCCGAATAAGGTAATTAGGGTTGAGTTTAATAGGGTCTACCCCAATCCTTGATATCTACTAGGAGTTCGTAGATATAAGCTCACATAGTTGTAAACCAATATGTATTTTCTAAAAATATAACCGTCCACCTAGTGATTAAAACTAGTTACCTGAACTAAACTGATAATCGATAGGTACACTGCCTTTCGTGTGTTTGTCTTTGTGTTTAAGTTAGTAGGATTAAAACTAGTTTGTTTCACACACATCAAGGTGTACAACCACCCCTTTAAATTGTACCTCTCATGGGAACCCTTTAAAGTGTACACCCACCCCTAGACAGTATCCCATCACTGGAACCCTTGAAAGTGTACAACCACCCCTTGCAATTGTACCCACCCTTAAAGAGTGTACACCCACACTGGAAATGTACACCCACCCATTGAACGTGTACATCTTACCGAAACCATGGAAAGTGTACACCGTCCCCTAAAAAGTGTACCACTCACCGAAACCCTTTAAAGTATACACCCACTCCTACAAAGTGTACCTCTCACCGGAACCCTTTAAACTGTACACCCACCCCTACATAATAACCAGTAAGCTTTTAAAGCGTACCTCTCACAGTTTGAATGTATACCTTTAAAGTGTACACCCACCCTAAAAAGTGTACCTCTCATCGGAACCCTTGAAAGTGTACACCCATCCCTTGAAAGTGTACCTCTCACAGGAACCTATTAAAGTGTACACCCAACCTCAAAACGTGCACCTATCACCAAAACCCTTAGAAGTGTACACCCAACCATTTCAAGTGTACACGTACTCCTAAAAAGTGTACAGGTCACCGGAAACCTTGAAAATGTACATATTTTATTAATTTAAAGTGTACACTCACCCCTAAAAAGTGTACCCATCACCGAAACCCTTGAAAGTGTACACCTACCATTAACCTTTGCGGCGCTGATTGTTCACACCCTAAAAAAGTGCACCTCTCAATGGAACCCTTTAAAGTGTACACCTACCCTTGAAAAGTGTACCCCTCACCGGAAACCTTGAACATGTGCACCCATACCTTTAAAGTGTACCTCTCACGGGAACCCTTTAAAGTGTAAAAGTGTACCTCTCACCGGAACCCTTGAATGTGTACACCCACCCCTTTAAAGTGTACCTCTCACAGGAACCCTTTAAAGTGTACATCCACCCCTAAACAGTGTACCTATCACCAGAATGTGACAACCCGATATTTCGAGACAATATGATTGATCACAAGTCAAACTTAGGTCAAAATTTAACTTTCCTAAAATCTTATTTGGGTTAAATAAGATAGTAGGAATCGTATCAAGGTTTTCGTACATATAAAGAACCCTAGAATCCGAGTTATAACGAAGAAGTTATGACCAACCAAAGATTCTCGGCAAAACCGGGAACACCGATTACACGAAAAACGCGAAGTTTCAATACAATAGTTTTTAGCCTTAAATATCTAAATGAAAGTTGTAGATAACATTAAACCGTAAACGTACGTAAAAAGAACGCCCAAATCTGACTTCATATGAAGAAGTTATGATTTTTCCAAGATCCGGATATAGCAGTAGACAACTAAAAAACTCGAAATAGAGATCGAGAGACCTTTGGCCAAAACAACCTAAATGAGAATCAAAGGTCTCAACAATAGTAGTGCAACGATGAAAAGTCTGACGAAAACGGACATCGGATGAAGAAGTTATGGATTTTTAACGGAATTTTCGTGTCCCGGCCCGTTAAAAATAAATGATTAAAAATAAATTCAAAATTAGCTGATGAAGTCTAAACGAGAGTTGTAGATCATGTTTTCAGCTACGCGTTCATATAAAGAACATCGAAAACGGTGCTCGTACGCAAAAGTTATGAATTTTACAAGTTTGGGGTCCAAAATCCGAGGCTGTCAGGCCCCCATGACGTGGCACAAGCTTGTCGCGACCCGACAAGTGACCGAGGGCGTCCAATCAATGGAAGAGGATAAGTTTGACTCCCCACGACGTGGCCATACCTTGCCATGACATGGCACACACCAGAAATGCCCCTATAAATAGATTTCAAGGGCTCCGAGTTCCATTGCTCAATTCCCTTCTTTCTCGCGTCGAAACTCTGTGTTTAAGCCCCTGAGACCCTCCCAAAGCCCCGGTTTTCACCTTCAAGTCCCGAAGGAAGGTTTTGTGTTCCCGAGATTCCCGAGAATCCCGAGATTTTCCCGCGTTTTCAACTCTTCCTGTCGAAGTTCTGCTCGATTCTTCTCTCGACTACTTCAAATCAACCATTTCAATCAAGTGAGTTCATACCCCTATAAGTCACACTTTTAAATGTTTTATAAATACTTTTATATGCTTTTAAGGGGGGGGGGGGGAATACAAGTAAAACACTCGATTATTATCGTGTGTTATATAATAAAGTTTCATTATACGCTTTTTATCAACGGAATCATATGTGATTTATAACTATTATAGGGAAACTTTCGTATGCAAAATATATCGCGATAACATCATAACTTTTGAAATGAAAAATGTTGTTATATATATATATATATATATATATATATATATATATATATATATATATATATATGTGAATCAAACACCCTGCGTATACGGTATGTATATGTGTCCATCTTTGGTACTACAAACATACGATTAATTTCGCATGAAAAACATCAATCTTTTACTATACTTACTGTTGATAAATCAATCGTATGGGATTTATAACTAGTATACAAATGGATTTACTATAGGTTTAGCAATTTTACCAAACATCTTACTTAAAATGACTTTCTTAAAACGTTTTTATATGTTTGAAGCTCTTTGTCATACTGTCTTACACGCTGTAAGCTTCCTTTCAAACTCTGTTACAAAGGTGTTTTCAAACAGAGGTTTTCTGTATACATAAACTGTATTATCAAACAAAATACTTTCAATCATTTTATAAACTGACATCAGGTCATCGTTTCTTATTATTAAACTTTTCAAAGGTTTTAGAAAACTTCTTTAACGCTTTTATATTGTAAATTGCATGCCTTTATATGTATAGTTATATAAGAAATGTTTAAAAGACTTAGGAAAGCTATCCACCCTGTTTCCTTTTCCTCGATTTGGATGTGGTCTGGTGGGATATCGGGTACCCGTCCGAAGGTCGTCTAAATATTATTTATATATCATGTATACATATATAGGTATCAAGGTTCCATTATTCAGTTCAATACCTTTGAGTAGCAAATGTATACTTCCGGTTATACTCGTACATTACTAGTAACTATAATAGGTATAGTTAGGAGATACCACTTACTATTCCAAGTATAGGGAATCACACAAGAGTCAGTTCATTCATGAGTCTATACGAGTACATTACATGATACATGAGTACATTTACATAGGTACGCTTACATGAGTACGTTTACATGAATACTTTTACATAGATATTATATGGCGAATTACTATTATATATTATATGTCTAGATACCATTATAGGTATACTTTAAGGGACTAACTATTCCTACACCCAGCTGTTAGCAACAGAGGTAATTGCACATCTATGGATGTCTACGGTTGATACCATTACAGGTATACTTTAAGGGACTAACTATTCCTACACCTAGCTATTAGCAACAGAGGTAAATGTACATCTACGGATGTATAAAGTTAACATTGTTAGTTATCCTAGTATAAAGGGATAATATGTAAGTAGTTATATTATTACCATTATCTTGTGACTCATTCACATAACCGATGAGGTGAATTGTATTTAAGTATCCTAGTACCAAAGGATACAATTTCTTATATTAATAATAATTATCGAACAGTCGGGTCTTGTTAGAAGGCTACTTTCAAAACAGTCGGGTCTTGGTAGAAGACTACTTTCAAAACAGCTAGGTCTTGGTAGAAGACTACTTTCAAAACAGCTAGGTCTTGGTAGAAGATTTCATCTATACTAATAGGAATCATAGGGATTTCTAGGGTTTACCAAACGGTTTCGATTACTTACAAACATTTCGACACTTATACGAAATTTCTTTCATAACAATATTAAGTCTTTCATTACAAGTTTTACAAATCAAAAACACATTAATACTTATGAATTCACCAGCTTTTTGGCTGATACTCGCTTTCAAGATAACTTGTATTCTCAGGTCACAAATAGACAAGTACGACGACCAGGTTTTGTGAAGACGGAGCAGTCCAGACTCGTCTTATTTTCTGATTATTCATTTTATTGTTGTATATTATGAAAGAACACACTTGTAATTAAAATTATACTATTAATGCAATGGATGATGTTGTTGCTTGTTTACTACTTTACATTGTTGTGATACATTACATGACGTCCTCCGCCCCATAACGTTTCCGCCGTTCTCGGTTTTGGGGTGTGACAGATTGGTATCAAAGCATTGTTTATAGCGAATTAAGTATATCAACCCATAAAAGATATACTAACTATAACTACAATGGGATTAAAAATACTCTGACCAAGAGTTTATACTTTTAAATAATAAAATATTCAATTAAGTATACATGCCTGCATTCATACTAAAATTAGTGTCACAATGACAAGAACAAAAGTATTACGATTGTTGAATATCACAAGTAAGCTTGGGGATGTATGGTCGGTCCTGGGAATGGCATAGCCAGATCAACTATGCTGGTCCGAGGAGTGATTAGCATATGCCCAAGAATGGTTGTGATGTGGCAACAAGTCTAAAAACTTACCAACACTACCACAATGAGAACATTATAACAGAACCTAAGTCTAAAATACTATAGGAGTATTTTGTGTTACCATAATTACTTACTTGAGAACTAAAAAGGATCTTCATTACTAAGTTGATAGTTGCTAAGTGGATATACTAAGGTTATATGTAACTAGGATGTCATAGACTTAGAATCTGTGAAATTCTGCTTTACCCCGGTTCCTTGTGAATTTGGAGTTGAGTTCACTTATTCGAAAGCCTATCTTGTTTTGATCACATATAACTGGTATGCACTTTACAAATAATGATGTAACTAATGAAGATTATCTAATAATTATCTAGATAGTTCATCTAATAATTATTTCTTTACCCAAATTCTCGTATAGATAACATGACTGGACTCCATCCCCACGACAACCCGTACTTCCCGATCAAAGGCAGTGTTGGATGGTTCAGAGAAGAACCAGAGAATGATCATCCACTCCCTTTTGAATGATCACCATGCTGAAGACCTTTTGGATGATGATAACTCCGAACCTGAGGATGAGAACCTACCCCCAGTAGCTCCTAATTCAAACCCTAACCCTCGTCCAACTCTTCATGGCCCGACGCCTCCTTGGGTAGAATGCTTGGAAACATGGAGCGAAGAGCAAGATCAACCTATGCGGTTTAATGGATACCGAAGCTTCTACCACTCAAGCGAAGGAATCTCAACCACTCAAGCGAAGGAATCTCAGCATACAGAGTTCTACAAATCCTAATCCGTAGAGTTGCCCGAAACGAAATTCAGGGCAGGATGACTTTTCAACGTATCGAAGAGGTTAATGCCAATGCAAGAATGCATACCATTCGCACCAATCACCTTGAACACATCCATGAGAGATCTGAGAGAGACCATGAAACCTTTCTACGAACACTAGCTAAAATCTGAGCCGAAGTCATAGAGCTCCAAGTACGCCAGAGGGTGTACGAGAGATACCTACTTGATATGAAACGTCAACTAATCGAACTAAGGGTTCACCATAGGGGTGACCGTCGCCAGTAGGAGATACCTTACTTCCTTCTTTGTTTTAAAGAACCGTGTTCCTGTCTATGTTCTGTGTAGTACTTTCTATGTGACTACCTTGTACTATAAGTACTTTTAGTTAAGTCTTTATGCTGTCAAAGACTTTTCTACTCCGAATATGATGTATGACCTACAACAAGGTCAATTTCCCCAAACCTATTACATCTTAAACATCAATGATATCGAAAGTCGGCTAACTCCCGTGTTACTCTTTGTTCAAATACCTTCATTATACTATCATTGGAGTCTATCTAAAACCCCACCTAGTCAAGTTATTGGACTATGGTAATTTAACTCCGAAATCATTTTCAAGCCTCTTTTAAAGGTTGGATCATATTATCCACCAACCTATAATACCTCGGCTTGAACAACAAACGTTTAAAGACCATTCTACAAACATAATTCTACTCTGAACTA